TGATACTTTATTTATTTTCACAAAATAAATAATTGGACCGAAACGAAAAATATATATATTTATAGTGCTAAAAGTATCATATATGTTTGACGGAACGAAAAAGTGTGACGCAAAAGGCCAAAGGTCAATTGGACTTGACAATTGCGAATGCTTAGTATATTATTATTAATTTGTGCAAAAATATGAAATGATTATAATTTATAAATAACACTAAGTTGGTCGTTAAAGTGAATGGTGATTGATTGAGTAGTCTGAGTTTGCATCAACTCACAAAAAAGAAGTTGGTTCAAGAATCCATCATTTGTTAACTTTATGCAACAACTTTGAATGTGCAATGAAATAAAAAGGGCTCGCATAAAGTTTACTCTGCTTGTGTTTGCTAAATATATAATTAAGCTAGCGTTTAGTTATCTAATTATTTTATAACATATTTTTTCATGTATCATTTCATAAATAAGCGTATTTCAAATGATTGAGGCAGCATTACATATAGATTTATAAAATATTTCATTTCTACTCACATATCAGTAAATTTTAATTAATATTTTTGTTTATCAACTAACTTTTCATTCAGCTATCACCATCTCAAAATTAATTAATTTATGGAATATCGGTTTATTTATCAACTTTATGTTAATTGTTGAGCTAAGTCTACCAAATATTCCATATTTATAAACTATCCATTGAAGACTTATAAAAGCTAGCTTTTTATGCATAGCCGCCCCAACTTTTTACTTTATTACCAATTCAATTCAATTTGAGTAGGTACCAACGTGTAAAGAGTACTTGAAGCAATATAAAGCCAAACAAACACGTGCAGTGCACCCTTTTGGGGCCACGCCCCACGTTAATCATCTATCTAATCTATACATGAAAAAAAGGTAATTAGTCGTCTATTTAAGTTCCAAATTTTACTTACGAGTTTTAAATAACATATAATTAATACTTGATGAATAAGAGTTTACATATAATATAATTCAAACATATTCCATGGATTTGGGGGTGTTATTTGAGTTGGAACGGTATAGAAGTATCGCTTGTTTGTGTGGTTGGGCTCGACTCGATAAATAAACAATACAACGTAACCAAATTCACTTACACTATTTCACTAAAATCCATAAATATAAAAAAACTATTATTAAGTTGTTTGCAAACAAACTCGGGCCAGTTCATTTAATAAATGAGTACGATTAACTATTTAAAATCGACTCGTTTAAGTAAACAAACGAGATGTTCTCAAAATTTATGAGACAAACGAGCTGTGTTCGAGAATCGTTTAGGTCGTCTAATAGCTCATCCAGTATCACCAAACTTGCTGTCACACTTTCAATTTTTTTTTAGATTATATTTTCAACAGAAATACATATTTTAGACTATCATGTAGAAAAATATGTAACTTTACAATAGAAATTTTTATTATATATTAATAAAATATGGTAACGAGAACATACAATTTGTGGTTAGATGTGAACAATTTACAAATCAAAGATTTATGGAAGTTTGATGCTACAACAACATTATGTTTGACATAACAAATATATGACAATTAGATTAATTACACATCACATCAATTTTATAAATTATACTCAACACATTATTTACATAATTAATCATTATTTAAAAATTTATGTTAAAATATATTTGTTTCATGCAAAAGGAGCAAACTGACATCTATTTATTTAGTTTTACGTTTTGACCATTGAGAAATAAATAAAAAACTTAAGTAACGATTTTGTATCATTATATGTGGAACAAAGGATTAGGTCACAATTAGTTAAGGCCTAATTGCCAGTACAATTTTTTGTCGTTTTAACCAAACTTTTGGAATTTAGCAAACATAACACCACTTTGACTATATTTTGGCAATTCGAATCACCGGGCCCAATTTCGGACTTTGTTTGCTGACGTAGCTCATGACATGACGATTTCTGCTGACATGGTAATTTTATGCTGACGTGGCGATAGAAAGTTTATACAATGTTGGGGTTCGAACTTGGGACCTCCAAGTTGTATGGTAGCTTTATTACCATCACACCAAACCATGTTGTATGTTTAATTTGATAGCGCTTAATATATATGGACGCTACTTATGAATAAATAAAATTAAATTTAAAGTTAATATAAATTTTCAATTATATTAATAAGATATAAATTTATAATAATTAAAATATTCTAAAATAAATATATATTATTAAATAAAAAATAAACTAAAATAAAGTAAGATAAAATTTGTTATAGAGTGTTTTTATAGTAAATTAAATTTAAGTAAATTTATATATTTATTATTTATTGAAATAATACTAATTATATAAATTTGGAAATAAAAAATAATAACAATTAAATTAAATTAATAAATAAACTAGTTAAAGTACACCAGTTAAAATAAAATAAAATAAATATAATATAAGATAATAAAGTATAAAAAATGTAAAATTAAAATATAAAAATAAAATAATAATCAATTAAAATAATAAAAATAAATAGAAATCTTAAATGAATATAATAAAATAAATAAATATTAATTGAAATTATTATAATTAATAATTTATTAAATTATTATATTGAAATACAATATAAATAATTTATTAAATTACTATATTCAAATAATATTTTTTATTTTGTTATATTCATTTATGATTTCTATTTATTTTAATTTATCATCTTATATGATTTATTATATTAGTTTCTTTATTTTACTTGCCATTTTTTAAACCTTATTATATTACATTATATTATTTTTTTTTTATTTTAACCGGTATACTTTAATCAAGTTTATTTCTAATTTAATTTTATCATTAGTATTTTTCATTTCCAAATTTATAAAATCAATTTATTTTAATAAATAAGAAACATATAATTTTTTTAAAATTTAATTTAATTTAAATTCACTCTACTATAATATATTTTATTTTACTTTATTTTAGTTTATTTTATTTATTTAATATTATATAATTTATTTTATTATATTTAGTTATTATAAGTTTATATCTTATTATCATAATTTAATATAATTTACATTATCTTTTAAATTTAATTTGATTTATTCATATGTAGTGTCTATATATATTAACCGCTATCAAATTAAACATAGAACTTGGATTGGTGTAGTGGTTATAAGGCTACAATACACCTTGGATGTACAAGGTTTGAACCCTAGCATCGTTTAATTTTTTTACCGCCACGTGCGCATAAAATATCCATGTCAGGAGCCACGCCAGCAGCCACGTCAGCATAAAATACCATGTCAGCAGAAATCGCCATATCATCAGCCACGTCAACAGACAAACCCGAAATTGGGCCTGGTGATTCGAATTGCCAAAAATAGTTAAAGTGGTATTATATTTGTAAATTCCAAAAGTTTGGTTAAAACAGCAAAAAGTTGCAAAGTCGTGATATTAACGGCAATTAAGCCATTAGTTAAAGCTTCATATGCATTGGACGAAGCATGTGATTTCTTAACGAAGACGTCTATACGCAATTTTATGGTGGGATGATACATTATGGTCAAATTATGTGAAAGCTCAATGACTCGTGTCATCTACAAATAACAGAAAAAAAAAAGGTTGCATTAATTATTATTATTAGTAGTAGTAGTACTACTACTAATACTAGCCATGGTGTTAGTTGTCTTGTCATGCACACTGACATACATGTTGGAGACTTACGTTTGCACCATAGTCTTTCTATAAATAGCATCCAATTTATACTAAGAAGGATCAACTATAACAAGTTAATGCAATTTATCTTGAACATTCAAGTAGTGTTGCAAACAATCTGAGCATTTCGCGAGCCGTTCTCGAGCGTTCGAATCAATGTTCGGCTCGAGCAGTTCGAGCATGTTATCGAGTCGATCTCAAGCATAGGTTTTGAAAGAGAGCGGCTCGAGATATGTAGTGAACTACTAAAATATTTTTTATATATAAGTATTACAATATTTTATATATGTACTTAATGGTAATTTTACATGAAATTTGAGTCGATCGCACTCGAGCCGAGCTCGAGCAATCTTTCGAGCATTTTGATTTCAATCAATCTCGAGCCGAGCTAGAACGATTGTCTTTTTTTGTCGTGTAGATCTCGAGCATCATAAATAGAGCTCGAACATGTTAAAAAAATAAAATTAATCTTGTTCGATAAGACTAATGGTCGACTCTTACTCATTTGCAGCCTACATTCAACCAATAAAATAGCATATGACCGAACTGTTTTTAAGTTTGACCAGTTCCATATAAATTATTAATTTTATTACTATTCTATTATTTACACTGTTATCTTATTGCATCAAATTCGGTGGTCTAGCACATATATGGATAATATCAATTTGCTGATTCGCAATAGTATGTATATAACTAAAACGTAGGCATATAATAACAACAATTGGATTTGAGTTTGAGCTGCCATACCATTCCATACCCTGCCCATCAACCCACCTGCTCAACAGTGTCAAGTTGCCCTCCTTGACAAACGTGTTGATAAAAAATTACCATATCATGACATACTAGATGCAACTTGGTAATCTCGTTCATTCAATTTCCACCTAACTTAATTAATATCCAATTACTTATTCTAATGATAACAAAAAACAAAAAACATGAATGTATAAAAAGATTCTGACCATATACACAATGAATGCAGTGAAATTAGGATGTCAACCAGTCAAACCGAGCTAAAACTCTAGCATTGAGCTCGAACTCATGATACTCAAGTTTGAGCTCAAGTCTTTAACGAATCGAGTCGCGCTCGTCTCGTTAACTAAATGAGTAATTAATTGTGTTTTGACTCGTTTATTAATAGTAATGAGCCGAAGTAAAGCCTTAACAAATTGAATTCAAGTTTTGACGAGTCAAACTATAAAAAATTATATAAAAAAAATCATACTCTTAACTAAGTGAACTCAAGATGATAAACGAGTCGAGCTCACGAGCGACTCGTTTTGTTTGACATATCTAAGTGCAGCCACCATGTTTTTTACATGCAACTACATGGAGTGTTGATCTAATAAAAAATTTGATGATTGTAGTGTACCTGTATAATGTATGTAGGGTGAAATACACCGAATTTGATTTTTTTTTTGGGTTAAAATAACGTCAATATGAGTACATTTGCGCGCCTATATATGGCACCCACTGCATAGCCAGCTGATCCATCTCATATCCACGTCATCATTTATTGTCTTCATACACAAGGGGGAGAAAAAATCGGCCTCCATAGATACTTTCCCTTTGCTAATCATAGCGGAAAAATCCTCCAAAACCACATATAAATTCACAATCTGCGCCCCTCACATTTTCCCCACACAGACATTTATTAACAATCTCTGGTTGTGTGTGTGCTTGATATTTTTCTGCGTGTGTGGACGTTGTGTGGTGGTGTTGATGTGATGGAGCAGAAGCACGTGTTCCTGTCGGCATTGAGCATAGGCGTGGGGGTCGGCGTCGGGCTCGGCCTGGTGTCCAGCTCGACCGTCGGAAAATGGACCGGCGGCGAAGGCTCGGCGGAAGCGGACGGCATCTCCGCCGGGAAGCTGGAGATGGAGGTGCTCCGGCTGGTGGTGGACGGGAAGGACAGCAAAGCCACGTTCGAGGACTTTCCGTATTTTCTCAGGTAGTTTTAGAGACGGAGATGAAAAAGGTTGTTTATTATGTGCAGTTTTGCTTATTCCTGAATTGTGAATCGTGTGTATTTTCTCAGTTCTTCGTGTTTTAGCTTAATTAATTGATTTATAAGTAGTCTATATTTTTATCTATTCTTCGTCTTTTAGCTTAATTAGTTGTTTTAGGTTTCTATTGATAAGTAAGCTTTTGATTCAGATGGTTGCAGCTTTTGATTTATAGTAGATAGGTAACATTTTGATTCTCGAAGCGTCGCTGTGTTCTTGTGAGCAAAATGGACTTGAGGGAATCACATGAAGTGTTAAGATCTATGTTTAAGTTATTGATATGTTGTTGATCCATGAGTTCAAGCCGCTCGTTTATTAATTTGATCTAGCTTAGTATTAGTTGTGTTGTTATGTGATGGCTAATCAACTTTCATCAATGATTATCACAGTGAAAAAACACGTGTGTTGTTAACAAGTGCTGCCTGTGTTCATCTGAAACACTTGGATGTATCTAAGCACACTCGGAATCTTTCGCCTGCAAGTAGAGCTATACTGCTCTCAGGGCCTGCAGGTAAAGCTTAAATCATCATAATATCATTAGTGTTTTGAAGTATATAAAGGTTCATTTGGTGGTGATTACTTTAGTCTTATTATGTTCCTTGGTTTATGTCAGAATTGTACCAGCAAATGCTTGCCAAGGCTCTGGCACATCACTTTGAAGCGAAGTTGCTACTGCTGGATTTAAACGACTTTTCGCTTAAGGTAGTTCGTTTTGATGTTAATCTTGCACCGCCAAATAATTTTGAATGCATTTATGTGCCTAATTTCTTGTTTCGTGTCATTGTCCACAGATGCAAAGCAAGTACGGTATCGCCAAGAAAGATTCTGTAAGCATGTTTTCCTTCAAATTCATTTTTCTTCCTCTTTTTTTATTCTTTTAATTCCTTAAAATTTGGAGTACGCTGTTGCTAGAACTAGTTTATCGAGATTCCTCTCACTGTATAATATTTACGTGGAAATTAAATCAAATTGCATTACTAGAAAATATAATGATACTTCCTTTTTTATATATAATATGTTGTAGTCTCTCGCAAGATCAATCTCGGAAGCAACAGTGGAGCGAGTGTCCAGTTTTCTCGGTTCCTTCTCTATGCTTCCATACAAAGATGATAACAGAGGTATGAACAAAAGGCGATATTTTCCCATTCTTTGTGTTTTGGCTTATGTTTCCACACTCCGGAGATTTGTGGTATGTTTCTGAGTTAAATCAAGATTTGCCTTATATATTTCAAGTGACGTAATATGGTTTATGTAAAACTAACTGTAGGCACATTGTCTGGGCAAAGGAGTGGACTGGATGTTACTATGAGGTATGCTTAGCTTAAATCCTGTGCAAATACATCAAGTTGCATTTAGGCTAAATGTCTGTGTATGATACAAAATCTGCTACTTGAAGGGATACTGAAGGAGCCAACACTTCCACAAGGCCTCGCAGGACGTCCTCTGTCTCTTCAGATATGAGTAGTATAAGTGGACTGTCTTCCTCTTCCAGTCCAGGTTCAATCACAATACTCCTTAAGCATGATTACCTGCTATATTTTCTCCGACTTTATGGAACATAGTAACTAAATTTTCTGTTTTTCAACTTTTTAGCCCATCCCAAGCGTGTATGCAGCTGGTCTTTTGATGAGAAACTTCTTTTGCAGTCGGTTTATAAGGTAATTGTATCATTCACCGAAAGTTCGTGCAAAAATGAGTTCATTTGCCTGAAGAATGTTGGCCTTGTTAAAACTTATTATATGATTATAATAAATAAAAATGTGACATGCAGGCCTTAGTTACGATTTCCCAAACAAACTGCATAATTCTCTATGTCCGTGACGTCGACAAGCTTTTTCTCCAATCCCCGAGGTTGTACAAATTGTTCGAAAGAATGTTGAAAAAATTGACGGGGCCTGTTTTGGTACTCGGTTCCCGAATGTTAGACCTCGATGACGACTGTGTTGAATTAGAAGATAGGCTGAGCCTTCTATTTCCTTACAACATTGAGATTCGGCCGCCAGAGGACGAGAATCACCTGGTGAACTGGAAAAGTCAGCTGGAGGAGGATATGAGGAAGATCAAAATTCAGGACAACAAGAACCATATAGCAGAGGTATTAGCTGCGAATGATCTCGAGTGTGAGGATTTGGGGTCGATATGTTATGGTGACACCATGGCTTTGAGTAACTACATTGAGGAGATTGTTGTCTCAGCTTTGTCGTATCATTTGATGAACAACAAGGACCCTGAGTACCGCAATGGGAAGCTCGTTATATCAGCTAACAGGTGGATATGGAGCATTTTTTTATTTTTTTTTTTCCCTCTTATGTTCATTTACTGTTTCATTTGTCGATTCTCTCGCATCGTAAATGTGCATCTGTTCACTCGACTGCCCTTTAATGCAGTTTATCTCATGGATTAAGCATTTTCCAAGAAAGTAAAAATGGTGGAAAAGGTACCATCAAATTGGAGACTAATGCCGAAGGTGTCAAGGTTTGTCCTTTTCACAGTTCTGTTTTTCCAATAGTGACAAACCTTTCTGAGTTAACACTCTGAACTAATTTTACCATTTGGATCATTTTTAGGAGTCTGACAGGAAAGGGGACGCCGGATCCAAACCTGAATCAAAGTCCGAAAACCCAACATCTGAGAACAAGGGCGAGGCAGAAAAGCCAAATTTGTCAACAAAGACGGAGCTTGATAGTGCAGTCATCTCAAAACCCGCTGTAAGCATAGCACTCGTCACTCTGACCTAGACACTATTGTATCTATTTCCATTGTTACTCAACTAATTAGCTCCCACCTTTCTCTAAAATGATGTATCAGATTTTAGTTAACACTCTCAGTTATAATGTATACTACCCAAATAATCTGAGCTGAAAGTAAAACAAAGGGGGAACATTTAGTAGTAGTATGGTGAAATTCAGATATTACAGCTAAACACCAACAACTTCAAAGGAAGGACTTTTATATAATTTTTAGATAACTTGGAGTCCCATTTTTCTCATCCTACACTTTTCTGTCCTCAGGAAGTCCCTCCGGACAACGAGTTTGAAAAGCGGATAAGGCCCGAGGTCATCCCGGCTGACCAAATCGGGGTCACGTTCTCCGACATCGGCTCCCTAGAGGAGACCAAGGAGTCCCTCCACGAGCTCGTCATGCTCCCCCTCCGCCGGCCGGACCTATTTTCAGCCGGCGGCCTCCTCAAGCCCTGCCGAGGCATCCTCCTGTTCGGGCCCCCGGGCACCGGCAAGACCATGCTCGCCAAGGCCATCGCCAACGAGGCTGGCGCAAGCTTCATCAACGTCTCCATGTCCACCATCACCTCCAAGTGGTTCGGGGAAGACGAGAAGAACGTGCGGGCCCTCTTCACACTGGCGGCAAAAGTGTCCCCGACTATTATTTTCGTGGATGAGGTTGATAGCATGCTTGGGCAGAGGACGAGGGTTGGTGAGCACGAGGCAATGAGGAAGATTAAGAATGAGTTCATGACGCATTGGGATGGGCTGCTCACCAAGCCTGGGGAGAGAATTCTGGTGCTAGCGGCTACTAACAGGCCTTTCGATCTCGATGAAGCCATTGTAAGGCGTTTTGAGCGCAGGTAAAAACTTTTGCAAATTCTCTTTCGGTACAGTTGAATTCATTCAAATACCCTTGATGTTTGCGCGTCCTTTGTGCCTTATTCATGGTGTGCGTCAGAGAAGTTTTAATTTATTTTACTATATTGATTTATTTTTGACAAGGTAGTTTATGCAGCTAGCCATAACAATAAACTGACCGGAGTTCTGCCTTTCTATAAGCTCGTTTTGCACGTATATATTGGCTAAAGAAACCATCTTCTAAATTTTCAGTGCATACCAATCTCATAAGTTATTTGATGTCCAGAATGTATCCTGGATGAAACCATTCTATAATCTGCGGTCATTTTAGAATGCCAGGCTTCTCTTTTGTCGGGTTCAATTGGAGATATGTCCTTCAGAAGTGCAATTTTGTCTGTAGATAAAAGGGTTTGTTTGAAAAATTAAGTAAATAAATAAGATCAAGCTTTAGTCTACTAGCTACCCAAGAAAAACACATTAGGGTACAAAAGAACATTATTCTTTCGGAATCCCAAAAATTTAGGAAACCGTGCTCAGATTCACATTTTTTGTTGAACAGAATTATGGTTGATCTACCTTCAGTGGAAAACAGAGAAAAGATCTTGAGAACCCTTCTGTCGAAAGAGAAGGTTGAAAACCTTGATTTCAAAGAGATTGCAACAATGACAGAAGGATACAGCGGAAGTGATCTCAAGGTCTGAATTCCCTTACTTCTGTAAAAATACATTTTTGGCTTCAATTATCTGCCACTGACCTGTGACTAATTACTCTTGGCAGAATCTATGTGTGACGGCAGCTTACCGACCAGTGAGAGAATTCTTACAGCATGAGAGGCAGAGAGACAAGGTATATTATATTCCAAATCTCCTTACCTGAAAAAAGATTTCGATTTTCATTTGCACATTTCTGATTATGAGAAAATCCAATCTGCCCATTGTAGAAGAAGAAGCAGAAAAACGAAAAAGGCGAGAGCACTGAAGATGCTTCTGGTACCACTGTAGAAGAAATCAAAGAGGAAAAATCAATTTCTTTAAGGGCCTTAAACATGGAGGACATGAGGCAGGCCAAGAATCAGGTACGGTGCGAGGCCTTTATTTTACTAAATCGTCCCTCGAAAATTGCCAAGTTCATCGAAACACTTATGTTCATCTTAAATTCAAGCTGCACTGCACATTCCTGGAAAACGAATAAATAAATGTTGGTGATTGTTACAGGTTGCCGCCAGTTTTGCAACTGAGGGATCCGTAATGGCTGAGCTAAAGCAGTGGAACGAGCTATACGGAGAAGGAGGCTCGAGAAAGAAACAACAGTTATCTTATTTCCTATAGAGCTTTGGGACTGTACACATTAATGACGTAAAGAAAACTCACATCAGCTTTTCTCGGGGAATTTGGCCAAGATGCTTGAGAAAAATTACACGACTGTTTGGACCAAAAGCCAAAGGACCTGCCTAGATGCCGTTCGATTCTAGTTTATTGTCCGAGTAAATTGTTCCAAGATTGGATTTAGCATGTAATTATTTCACTTTGGAGTGCATTCTCTGTATGTGCATTGTTGGAGAGGAGATTGGAAGTTATGTATATCAGCATTGTTGGAGAGGAGATTGAAAGTTATGTATATCAGGAATTCAGGATTGATAGTAATGCTATATTATATGACTCTAAGAAGGAAGGGAATTGTCTGTCTGTACGGTTTGTGCAAATAACTTATGAAGCATTGTTGTGCTCACGAGTTTTTTTAACTTTTGAAGCATTTTGAAAACGATATATTGAGTCTAACTGCAAATCTTGTAAGGTTGATTGATTACGATATATAACTTAATTAATCAGGAATGAAAACTGTAACGGTGTGGAAATACTCCTTCAGAAATTGCGAGAGGACATGTTAGATAATCATATTTTCTGAACATACATGGATACTTTAAAATCAAATGTTACATTCTTAAAAATAATATAAATAAAAATATAAAATTACAAAAACCACTATAAATAAAAATATACAAAAGAAGAAATATGAATTCTTATTTAAAAATGAAACACTTACTCTATATCTATATATATATATATATATATATTTATAATTATAGGTAAACAATTTAATGTAAAAATAATTTTTTTCCACTCACTTTTTTAATTGGAAATAAATTGTTACATTTTTTCATTAATTGAATAATTATATTTTTTATTTATTTTATTATATAATAACTACTATTAATTAATCATAAAGACACGATAAATGAAAACTATATATATATATATAGGGATGCGCACTTCTATATATATATATAATTCTATTGTTATTTTTTTTTTCAAATTATTTATTTAAAACCCATTATATCTTTTAGCTCACTAAGAATTTTTTATTAAAGTTAATTAATTATTTTTTATGGTATAAACAAAACACTATTACTCTATCAAATTCTATTGTTATTTTTTTTTTCAAATTATTTATTTAAAACCATTATATCTTTTAGCTCATTAAGAATTTTTTTATTAAAGTTAATTAATTATTTTTTATGGTATAAACAAAACAATATTACTCTATCAAATATCAAGTCTAATACTAATGAATAATTAAATGATTCAAATAAAATTACAAAATCGAAATGTTGTAATATAATCAAGCTTGACGATATCTTCAGGCTTGGTTCAATTACAGGCTTAACACAAACTGAAAAGTGAAAACCGAAAAACGAAAATTAACCAACAAAAACAAAATCCAGCTTCATTGAAGCCCCAATTCAGAAATCCATGGCTGATCCAATCGACAGATACCAAACGCTAAAGCTTAAAGAATCTCTCTCCGACCCTTCCCTATACACCCTCGCCTGTAAAGAATTAAGCTTTATTCTAAAATATGCCTACTCAAAATCCCCTAAAAATCTGCAATTGCTCATTTTTCAAGAAACCCTCTACGCCTTCAGCTGCCTCCCTGAGTAAGCCGACGGAACCCTTCTGTTTTCATTCGATTTCGAATTCTATGATCACTGAAGGGTTTTGTGTACTCGAGTTTGTGAATCATTTTTAAAAAAAATTCCCCTTTTTTTTTGGGTTATACTGATGGATTGTATTTTAGGGTTCATACACAGTCAGCAATTTCTGCTGCAAACTCTCTTCTGCAAAGTGCTGAATCTGCTCTGCCGAAGCAAAAGAGGGCTTTGGCGGTGGCGGAGCACAAGCACGCTGTAGTTGCTACGAAGAGAAAGTGCAAGACGGTTAACGAAGAAGAAGGTTCTTCTATCTTAATATTTTGCCATGTTTATTTGGTGTTTGTGAGAATCGTGAAGCTCTGAGTTCGAAATATTTAGGTTGAAATATTATGTGACATATTGTGATGATTGTGGCTTTTTCTGGCTTCCAGTTTGACTCTCAACTTAGTCACCATAAATTCTTCTGAGTTCTATCAAATGGTAAGTTCGATCCTATTCGTTTGGCCAGTGTACATGTGGGATTATCACCGTTGGATCACATGCACTCACTCACACACACACACACAGGTGGTAATAAACCTTTGCCCACACGGGTAGAAAGTAATTAACTGTATCTAACCCAACTGATTTTCTTTAATTTTCAACTTATGCTAAAGATAAATGATTTCCTATAAAAGCACAAGCTTTTGCAAACACTCCCATTACAAGGCATTGTGCATACTCTTGATGACTGATAGAACTATCGCATTGGGGGGGAGATGGACGATTACTCAACTGTATATCCTTTGATTTTCATTTTCCAGATCACATTTTATTTCTCCGCCATTATTTTTGTTCCAGGTTTAGATCTGATTTCGGAGGATGTTCTTCTACATATATTCAGCTTCTTAGATTTGCATTCTCTGGTGAATGCTTCTGCTGTGTGCCGGTAATTTAACTTTTTTTTTTGTTACTAAAGATTGTATATATCCACCTTTTTCTTTCCTTAATTGTTTTAATATTTCTGGCTATGTCCTTTGATTTTACGGTTTAATGCGTAGGTCATGGAATGCTGTTGCTAGTGACAACCAACTCTGGAAACTATTATTTGCCGTTTTTGTTTCCAATTGGGATAATGTTAGGAAGGATTATGATTGCTTTTATGGAGTTACTAGGAATGGTGACAAGTTTCGTTTGTTAGATGAAGTTTGTGCTGGGGTCAGTACAGACTGGAGACGCGCTTTAAAAAGAGCCTTTAAACGTAAGTTTTGTATTTCGGCAGAATAAGATTTTGTTCTGCTATGTTAGAATATATTGTTGAAAATTTCTGTTGTGGTTTTACGATTTCAAATATATATGGTACCATTCATATGAATACAACCCCATTAAGGTATCCTTACACTATCTCCATTCTGAAAAATCTTTGTTCTCTT